GGGGGCGGCGCCCGGGAGCTGCTCGCCCTCCCCCGGCCCCCAGCGGGGAGAAGAAAGCGCCTCTGCGGCAGGCGTTCGCTGTCCTTTTCAGATAGCTTGCTTAATTATTAATAACGTCATTATTAATAGCTTAATTGATGATCAGGAGCTTAATTTCAATAGCTTAGTTATATCTTTCCGATGTTGTAAAGACCGGACACTTACTAAAACCCAAAGTTTTCAACCTCGATGGATTTGTCTGACATTTTAAACTGTTTTAATCCAGCCTGGGAATCCTGCTGGGAAAAGCTTTCCTGCCGCTGCCTCTTGGCCTCCCGGAGCTGGAAATTCCCATCTCTCTCTTCACCTTCCTCTGCCCACCCAAAAAAAGAGGAATAACCCAGAAAAAGGGGACTGAGGAGCCAAAACCACCGCGGTCGCGTTAAGGAGCAATTCCCACAGCGTGGGATTTTCCCCGGATGCCCCAGCCGTGCCGCCCCCTCCGGACCCCGGCCCCTCCGGCCACCGCCAGCCTTCGGGCCAATTCTTTGTGCTCTCAGGAGCTTATAGGAAAGTAAAGTAAAAAAAGCAAAGCTTAAACAAAAAAAAAACCAACCCCACCCGCTGACTTGCCCTGACGCAAGGCTGTCTGGGGGGAGACGGCGGGGCGAAAACGGCCGTCGGGGTTACTCTGAAAAGGGTTATGGTATATAGAACTATTTCTTAGTATTGTTGTTGTGATTCTTATTTTCTGTCCCTGGCCCAGCACCGCAGATCGGTTTGAGAACCGCGGCTATTGAAATTAAGCTCCTGATCATCAATTAAGCTATTAATAAATAATGACATTATTAATAATTAAGCAAGCTATTTGAAAAGGACAGCGAACGCCTGCCGCAGAGGCGCTTCTCCTCCCCGCTGGGGGCCAGGGGAGGGCGAGCAGCTCCCGGGCGCTGCCCCCCTCGGCCCTGGGGCCGGCAAAGCGGGGGACGCGCGGGGGCTGCCGGGGCCCCGCGGCGCTGTCCGGGGGGGAAGGGGTCGGGGGGCTCTCGCAGGGCTCGTCCCGCTGAGTGGCTCCCATTTTACTTGCAAGACTTGCATTTCGTTACATGCTTATGGATTTATCTATGTGTTTTTACTGGATTTACAGATAGATAAATCATCGTGCAGATGAGCAACAGTTAGTAAACGGTGCTGGTAGGACTCCATGCACCTCTATATATCTATTTTCCGTCTCTGGCCCAGCGCACAGATGGGTTTGAGGACTGCAGCCCCGGTTCCCTGCCGGGCAGCGCCGGGGGCTTCGGAGCTGCCTCGGCCACGGCATCGCTGCTCGCCCGCACGGGGACCTGGTGGCTGGAGACGATGCCGAAGAGGCAGGTGGGCGCACCGAATGGCCCCAGGGCCCCAGGGTTCGGGGTGACCCACGCAAGAAATGGCTGAGAACATTTCCCACTTCACCCTGTTCATGCAGAATGAATTTTCCTTCACCCAAGCAAACCCGATTTGCTGCGACCGAGGCACCTTGAAAGCGAAGCCTTGGCAGCGCCGGGCCCCCTGGACCCTCCCCGGAGCGCCCAGCCAGAGCCGCTCAGAAGCCTCCCCAGAGCCGCCGCACACGCACCGGGCGATGGCAAGGGGTACTGGCTCCAGGGGGTTAAATCAAAAGAAATGCCCCCAGGAATTACAGGCTCACCTCGTGCAACGTTGTGCGCTGGAAAACAAAGTTTCGTCTTATAGAAGCCCCCAAATTGGAGCTTAATCTGATCAAGCATTATTGTTTTGCACGTCTGTAACTATGAGGAAAGAACCGATGGTTTTTCCCTGGCAAAGCTTTTCCCTCGCAGTCAGCGCTGGGCTCCCTCAGTCCCGCAGAAACCGTACGCGACGTGAAGTTTCATTCCTGAAAAACCAGGCTCGACAACAGACGCGGTGACGGCCGTAACGCCACAACGTGTGAAACCGCACGTGAGCCCCGCGGCCGAGCCGTAAATCTCGAGGCTGTGGAAAAGCCGCGGGAGGGGAGGACTCGGCTTCACGGGTGCTCCGGGAAGACGAGGACGGAGCGAGGAGCTCCACCGCCGCGGCCGCGCTCCAGCTGAGCCGCAGGTGAGCGGCGGCGTTCCGCCGCGCCACGCACCCCCCCGCCGCAGGACTTGCTGCACGGGTGTGCGACGGCGGCAGCACCCGCCGGGAATCCCCGCTGGCCTCCAGCCTCGGAAAGCTCCTCTTCACCCCGCTCACGCTGATCAAGCCGGGGAGCAGCGGGTCTGACCCACCACCAGACCACCACGTAACTGCTACTCCGACCGCTTTACCAGACCGCACACGCTCTGCTCTCTCTTCTTTCATTCCCACCAATACCAACAGCCCTTTTTTTTAGAAGAATCCTGGTTTTTCTTGCAGGGGCATCGCCAGCACCCAGCTTCTCTCCAGCCTACATGCCCCGAGCGGCCGCGGTGAGAGGCTGTGCCCAGGGCTGCTGCTTTCTGGAGGGGGGAGGCAGGGGACAGACGCTCGGCTGGAGGCGACGCGTCCCCCGCGTCACGGCGAGCACAGAAACCCCCGCAGCGCCGTGCTTATTCCCCTTTGGCTCGGCAGCACCTTCTTCTTCAGCATCCCGGGGGACATCGCCGAGCAGCGCAGGCGAAGGGGGACGCACGAGAAAAATGTCGCCTCCGCTGCTAAAAACGCCCCCCTTTCTCGCTCCGCAGGCGCTGCCGCCAAGGCGTTTGGCAGCAGCGGGC